CCCAGATCGTGTTCTCAGTCAATAGTATACCAGTGAAATGCAGAACCTGTATTAATGTTGCAAATGGAAACCTGCTCAGGCCAAGAAATGCAGACGGCCGCACTCTCAAACATTGTCACTTCACCCATATTACACATAGCCCCCTCTATCCCCCCGGCTCCTTCCCTCCCCCACCCCGCCCCCCCCACGCGTCCCATCCCCCTCTATCCCCCAGGCTCCTTCCCTCTGCCCTCCCCTCCATGCCCCCCCGTTCCTTCTCTCGTCTCCCTCTATCCCCCCGGCTCCTTCCCTCCTCCTCCCCCTCCCAGCGTCCCGTCCCCCTCCATCCCCCCGGATCTTTTCCCCAGTGCTTCACCCCGTCATCCCCCCGGCTCCATTCCCCGGTACTTTGTCCCCGTCCCTCCCCTCGGGCTCCTTCCTCCCGTCCCCCTTTTTCCCCCCGGGCTCCTTTCCTCCCATGCCCTGTCCCCCCCATCCCCCCGCACCCTGTTCCCCTCCACCCCACTGTCCTGCTGGATCCATTCCCCTGGTACTTCGCCCCCCTCCGTCCCCCCGGGCTCCTTCCACCCCCCCCCGTGCCCTGTCCCCTTTCATCCCCCTGGGCCCCTCCTCCCCCTGTACCCCATCCCCCTCCTTCCCCCAATCTCCCTGCATCCCCCTGGGCTCCTTTCTTATGCCCTGTCCCCCCCCCACTCTCCCCCAGCTCCTTCCCCCACACACACCCTGTTCCCCACCATCCCCCCTGGCTCCTTTCCTCCCGTGCCCCATCACCCTCTATCCCTCCAGGCTCCTTCCGCCCATCACCTGGCTCCTTTCCCTCATCTTCCTCCAGCGCCCTGGGATCCTCCCCCTCACAGCCTGTCCCCCTCCCCCCATATGTCCCCCCGGCTCCTTCCCCTACATGCCCTGTCCCCCTGATAATTCCCCCTCAGCTGTCAGCCTGTCCCCCACCCCAGTGCCTTCCTCCATCCCCCTGCATCCCACCTTTCCCCCCCCCTCAGGCTCCCCCCCCCTTCAGGGCTCTCCCTGCTGTGCCCACCGTTCTCCATGAGCCATCCCTCTTCTCCCAGCTTGGCCTGGCCACACGCTGGGGCTGCCCCTGACCTGTAGCTGCCCATGGGAAGGGGCGGGGGTGCACTGCTACAGGTGGTCCCTTGTGGGGCTCAGATGCTGTGGGGATGAAGGTGAGATCACACCTGGCTGGCAGACAGGCAGGTGCTGTGAGGGTCTGCACTGCAGCCCCTTACCCAGGGGTTGGGGGCTAGGCTGGGCTCCCCAACACTCTGCAAGGGTCAGCCAGGGGGGAAATGGTGACAAGACTCATTTAATGTAAACAACACCAGCATCCTTCGTATTTCCCTGGCAGTCTCCCGGGCAGGCCCTGTGGTAAGGCCTGGCTGAGCCTCTCAAGGCACCGCTGGGGTGAGCACACGGCTGCAGGGACCCCCCCCCCCCCACCCCGAGCTTAGTGGGACCAAACACTCCTCCCACTCAGCCCCTCGACCAGCCCCTAGCACCTAGCCTGTAAACTCACCCCCAGCTGTTCCTGTCCTCCCCTGGTCTGGGCGTGGGGGAGTCTCGGGGGGAGGGGGGCTTTTTGTCTGCTCCTATTTGGCAACTTAGAGGTAGCTTCCCAAATCTCTCACCTCCTCTGCCCCAGGCCAGATCCCGGGCCTTGCTAGGCACCACGCTTTCCTCCTCAGCCTCCTCTAAGAGCCAATCCTCTGCCACCACTTAGCATTGCTGCTGTTGGTCTTGTGCCATAGTGAGTGCCAGGCTAGGGCAGATGCCAGGAGGGGAGGGAGGCAGACCACATGCAGCTGGCACTTCCATGGGGAGAATTGTCCTGCAAGGCTCAGGATCTGGCATCCCCGGGACCTGGGTTAAGAAGAAGAGGTAGGAGACCAACAGAGGGGAATACCAGCTGTGGCAGCATAAAGCCCTTTTCTTCCTTCATACGTAGACTTGTCTCCCCACAGTAACCGGTACCTACTGCCTCATCTCTCTTCCTGGTCATGCTGGAGATGTTGGGGGAGCTGATGCTGTATTGGGCTTTGAGTCTCTTCCCGGCCTGGCTAGCCCAGATCGTGTTCTCAGTCAATAGTATACCAGTGAAATGCAGAACCTGTATTAATGTTGCAAATGGAAACCTGCTCAGGCCAAGAAATGCAGACGGCCGCACTCTCAAACATTGTCACTTCACCCATATTACACATAGGGAGTATTTTTGGTTTCTAGGTTGGCTGTTAAACATTTACTTCAAGCTGCACAGGATGTGCTGTGTGGGCTCTGAGACCCGTGACGCTTTCATTTCCTGAGTGTGCTGTGGTTTAATTTTCAACAGCGCAGTTCTATCAATGAGGGCCTTTGCCTTGTGTTATTTAATTCGTAATCAATGACCAAGAATTCCTGCGATATTGATCTTCGTACAAACTTCACCTGAATACGTTTGATCTTCGGAGATAAGTCCTCAGGCAAGAACTTCCCGAAGGATAACAAGAAAAAATCATTCGAAACTCGTTTAAAAAAAATCTTACATAAGTCTCAAAAAAGCAGTTGAATTTGCTCAAATTGATACAAGACTAATTGTTAAATAGAGATGAGATTAGTCAGTTGTCTAAGAAGGATCAAATAATAAAACAGTAATGGGAGCTAATGGAACCCAGAAAGTTTTTCTCATTGTCATACTCAGAAGACGTGTAATGCTTTTGATCTTTGATTAATCCAAGCTTGGCAGAGAAAGGAGGGCAAGAAATCAAAAGCATCCTTAAGCAAAAATAGTTGTTTACGTCTAGCGTGGGTGGCTTTAGATATATTTGGAAAGATATTTGCTTGTTATCATACATAATGTTTCCATCTTTTTCTTGACTATGACCATACTCTTTATCTCAAAAAATGTGTAAATGTTACAATAATAGGACGGAGAGAGAATAGATTTGTCTAAAGTTTTCAGTGCAGAACCGTTATTGGATATTTTGAAAATCTTAGATAGCCAGAGGAGAAGATTACAGTTTAGCAAAGAATTTAATAACTGGGAGAGTTAGAAGCTCCCCACCCAGATATCCAATCCAAATCCAATATTCTTGCTACAATGTTCTCGATTTGGTATATTCCAAGGTAGTGAGGAATTACCTTTAATTTAGATTCCAGTTAGTGTCTTAATACTTCCTGTGCTTCCATATCAACAAGGTCCTTCTCTGTCATTTGGAATTGAGTTTCAGTCTGGGAGATTTACAGTGTTGACTTTGTCACCTAAAGATTTGCTAATTACTGGGTAGGAGCATGGGGAGCTGTGGGAACTGGTCTGAAGTCATTACTAGATACAGTAACTTGTTCCAAAGAGATGGACTTTCTATTAGCCACCCTGACTACTCATAGTGCTAAAAAGCTAATGGAGGCCATGGTGAGGATTGGCGCTACCAAGGGAGCTTGCCTTGGGCTGGGTAATTAGACAGGAATAGTCGCCATGGTCCAAAGTTCTCCCCATCGTCTCTGGCTAGACCAGCAAAATATCCAAAATTGTAGGCCTGGGTCAGCATGGGAAAAAAGCCTAGGTGTGAAGGGAGAAAAGGGATCCCTCTCCCAAAGCCAGTGTTCCCCTCCAGAGGCCTTCTTGCCCCTTTTTTTTTTTAAATATATAGATCAATGTGAGGGTACTCCAGGGGGTCCACGAGTCATGTCCGGGGCTGCCGGCCCCACTGATCAACTCCTCCCCATCCCTCCCAGTGCCTCCTTCATGCCACGGAACAGCTGTTCAGTGGTGTGCAGGAGGTGCTGGGAGGGACAGGGCACGCTCGGGGAAGGGGGCGGAAAGAGAAGTGGCAGAAGTGGGGCCTTGAGGGAGGACTGGAGTGGAGGCAGGGTCTGGGGCTGAGCATGGGTCGGGGGGGGAGGGTCTGCAAAAATTTTAAATCAAAATGGGGGTCCTTGGGCTGCTAAAGTTTGAGAACTGCTGATCTAGATCATAGGTTCTAAGGCCGGATGGGACCATTGTGACCTGCTAGTTTGACCTTCTGTATTACACAGGCCAGAGACCTGCCCCAAATAATTCCTGTTGCAGATCTGTTGTTAAATCGAGATTGGAGGTTTTTCTAATTGCCAGTGTTGGAGAACCCACCATGACCCTTGGTACATTGTTCCAGTGATTAATTAGCCTCTTTCCCAAAGCCAGTTCCTCCCCACCCTTTGGTACGGTGGGGGCATCACTTAAAACAACCCCAGAGGAAGTGCTGTGTGGATCTTTCTGTCTGCGCTTTGTTGGCTTTCTGGCCAGAGTGTAGTGCCTTGAGGAATTACCGCCAAAGAAATTGTCCCCAGAAGGTGCTGACAGAATGCACCAGCAAATCCTCATGCCCATCACATGGCTTCTAGGACAGACAGGAAAAGCGATTCCTCACCCAATATCCTCCCCCCAGCCCAGCTGAGTAATAATTCCCAGGCTGCCACCAACAACTGCAGGGACATGGCATGTCAGTTCCAGGGTTAGTGTCCAGCAGCCAAGCACCTGCGTTTAATGTCCTTGCAGGTGGTACTAATGCAATGTTAAGTCTGCAAGATCAGATATTCCAACACCAGAATATTCGCAAAGTTCAGGTTGTTTGGGAAATGTTAACTTGTCCCCATTACATCAGGGCTTGAAGAATTCCTAGGGTCCATGCTTGCAGCGAGTGGAATGTCTCCCTGGTGAGTTTGGAGGCCTGCACCATCTATTTCTGCAGAGTTTAAGCTTTCAGTAACTGACAAATGAAGATCTTTATGGTTGTGAAGAAAACCTTCCAAAGACAACCAGTGCAGGGCTGCAGTCAGCTCTAGTGCCTCTGCTGCTGCTCTGAGCTTTGCCAGGCAGTTGCAGATTAGTCAGTTATGCAGTGGTTGTTCAGAACCGTTTGGGCATCAGTGACCATAACCAGAACTGACTCAGTTTCACTCTGCTGCTGCTGCTTGGGAAAGCTACAGAGGCAGATGCTGGAGTTACTCAGGGTAGAGAAATGGGGGCTGGGAGTAGCAGCTGCCTCTCTACCCTTGAAACAGACAGTGCAGTGGAGACTGACCCCCTGTAACATCAGCCAGGAGGCTCTGACAAGTTGGGGGGGGGACAAGACAAGAATCTCCTTTTACCTTCAAGCAGTTGAGGGGGAAGTGGGAGTACTTCAAATTACAGTAACTCCTCACTTAACATTGTAGTTGTGTTCCTGAAAAATGCGACTTTAAGTGAAACGATGTTAAGTGATTCCAATTTCCCCATAAGAATTAATGTAAATGAGGGGGTTAGGTTCCAGGGAATTTTTTTCACCAGACAAAAGACTATATTTTATATATATATATATATATATATATATATATACATACACACACACAGACAGTATAAGTTTTAAACAAACAATTTAATACTAGTACACAGTGATGATTGTGAAGCTTGGTTGAGGTGGAGGAATAAGAGGGTAGGATATTTTCGAGGGAATGCCTTACTGCTAAATGATGAACTAGCAATTGGCTGAGCCCTCAAGGGTTAACTCTCTCAGTCTACAAGGCAGCAGGAATGGAGAGAGGGGAGAGAGCATCGCAGACAGAGACACACACTGTGTGTGTGAGAGAGAGAGAGATGCGCATTTCCCCTTTAAGTACGCTGCCTTGTTAATTAGATCAGCTTGCTGAGACCGCAGTTGCTGCTGCCAGCAAGCTCCCTCTGTCCTGAGCCCTGTTGTGTGTCCCCCCTGCTCTATGGAAGATGGGATAAGCGGGGTGCAGGGGGGAGGGGGACACCCTGACAGCCCCCCTCTTCCTCCCCTCCCCCCCGCACATCAAGCAGGAGTCTCAGGGAGCAGCTCCAAGGCAGAGGGCAGGAGCAGCACATGACAGTGGGGGGGAGGGACAGCTGAACTGCCGATTGATAGCCTGCTGGGCAGCTGCTGCACAGGGAACTTAGGGGAGCCGGGAGCTGATGGGGGGCTGCTGGTCCACCCTGGTTCCAAGCCCCCACCAGCTAGCTGAATGGGCTGCTCTTCCTGCAAGCAGTGGACAAAGCAGGCGGCTGCCAAACAACATTGGAAGGGAGCATTGCACAACTTTAAACGAGCATGTTCCCTAATTGATCAGCAACATAACAACGAAACAACGTTAACCGGGACGACTTTAAGTGAGGAGTTACTGTAATCAGACACAATTTATCTGAGCCAGAGGATGACAGGAAAAGTGGAGCCTCAGCATGGTCTGGGGCTGACATCCTGCTAGAAATCCTAGCACCAGCCGCTGGGCTGCTGCCCAGGGCGTTTCCCCTTGACCCTGCAGGTCGTTCCCTTCCCTCTTCTGACCATCAGACCCCTGGCTAGTAGATGGCCAGTTCACTTTCCAGGCTCTGCGCAGGAATGCTAGTGCCACTAGAATTAATTGTGAAGGTTTGTTAGGCTCCGACATGCTGGGATATGTTCCTGGGGAATCAGGTCAGATTATTTTTAGTCTTTCTCAGCCTGTTTTCCAGCATCTCTTCCCCGGGCCTGTCAGAAAGCAAACCTGTCTCAGTGGTTGGCTCGTGCCTGTGGGTGGGGGGAATACCCGGTGTTAGCCTGTTTAGCTCTCAGAGAAGCTGTCTGGCTCATTCAAGATGTGTGGAGTTTTTGTGTAATTTCCCCCAGGCCAGTTGGTGTGTGGGGCTCCTACCTGTGTGGCTGGATTTTAATGCAGCTGCAGCCTCTCACCAGGAACTCTTCCCCCCCTACTGCTTCTGGGGAAGCCGGGGTGGAGGGAGCAGAATGGTCCTGAGAGGCGGAGCTGGTAAAAGGTCTTATTTTGATGAGGAGCTGGCTGCTCTGGTTAACGCCCTCTGTACTTGGCTGGCTGAGTGAACTGGGGGCTCTCTGGGGAGGACTGAGCTGTGATGGGCCGGTCAGTGGGGCTAGTGTTAGAAGAGAGATGTGGGGCTGGCAGTGTGCTGAGGGGTGTTTTCTGGAGGGCGGGGTTAGGCCCTGCAGGTGGCGTTGGCAATGGAGTTGAGGGGTGGCTAGCTCTGCCCAGGGTGCTAGTTCTGAGCTATAAAAACAACAAGGAGTCTGGTGGCACCTTAAAGACTAACAGATTTATTTGGGCATAAGCTTTCGTGGGTAAAAACCTCACTTCTTCAGATGCATAGAGTGAAAGTTACAGATGCAGGCATTAAATACTGACCCATGGAGAGCAGGGAGTTACTTCGCAAGTGGAGAACCAGTGTTGACAGGGCCAATTCGATCAGGGTGGATGTAGTCCACTCCCAATAATAGATGAGAAGGTGTCAATTCTGAGCTATGATGTCCCTGCAGTTTCAGAGCTTGCAGCTGGAGCGGGAAACGTGCCTGGCTTCGAACTATGCCCTGGCCAAGGAGAACCTGGCCCTGCAGCCGCGGCTGGAGAACAGCAAAGCCTCACTGGCCATAAAGTACCAGGAGCTGCGGGAGACAAGGGAGGCGTGTCAGGAAAAGCAGCAGCGAGTGGGTGAGTGGAGCCACCCTGTGTCAGTGGGGGCTGCTGTCCTCGGGCTCTGGCTCTGGGATGCAGAGGGGAAGCCGGCTCTGGCCTCTCACTCACTGGCTGGGCCATGCCTTGATGGCCATTTGGGGAGGAGCTTTTGGCTCAGCAAGTGACGGCCCTCCAAGGGCAGGACGATGGCTGGACGATGGGGTCGGAGGCCTCTCCTTGGACTGGCCGGAGGGGGGTGGCTGGAGGCTCCATTGCAGGGCTGGGTTCATTTGTATGCCCCTGGCTGAAGCTGCTCTCCCCGCAAGCAGAGACCTGCCTGAGGAAGTGGAGCCCACAGCGCGCCCTGAGCCAGCTCCAAGCTGCTCTGGATGCAGCCGAAGCGGAGTCGGAGGTGAGTTTGCAGGACCTGCTTTGCCATTGACCTGCCTGACTCTGGTCACCTTGTAGCTACTCCGCTTCCCCCCACTCAGTCCCTGGGACGTCTCGGTCAGCAGGGCTGGATTCACTTTTTGTGGGCCCAGCGCCAAACATATTTGTGGGCCCCCCTGGGGCAAGGTGCAGGGGGGTGGGATGGTCAGTGTCCAGAGTGAAGGGCGGGCTGGAGGCAATGAGGCACAGCGCAGCGGGAGCAGCCCCGCTCTGCGCAGCCCAGCAGGAGGGCACTGTTTACAAACCTGCAGCCGCCAGACTCACACTGGCCTGCCCAGCCCTGTGCTGCCAGCATGTCCCTTCCCCTGGAAGGCAAGCCCGCACCACACCATCCCCATGCCCAGTGCCCCACCCTTATGCCCAGTGCCCCCTCACCCAGAGACCTCCACCACAGATCTCTATGCCCAGCTCCCACCCCTCCCAGAGACCTTCCCCACTGGCCTCCCACCACAACTGCACAGCACCCTGAACACCACACTGCTCGCCCAGCGTCCCCCACCCGTAGACCTCTCCACTGCCCACCCCCTTCCTCACAGACTCACCATCACAGCTGCACAGCACCCTATATTCTTATGGGGATTTTGCACCAAAAAAATTAAAATTCTGCCACAATATTTTAAAATTCTGCAAATTTTATTTCTCAATAAATAAATGTGGAGGCTCCAACATGGCAGTGGGGAGCACAGGCCATTGGTTGCATGGAGGTGGGAGATTCCCCTTCAGCCTCCCCCCACCCCACCCCAGGACAGGGACTTGGCAATGAGGCTGCACCCGACCCTGACACAGTGCAAGGGCCAGGCCTGCCCCAGAAACCCCCATGTGCCAGGCGCACCAGGTGTGGGTGAGCAGGCTCAGCCCGGCAGCAGGATCCCAGTGCAGAGGGACTTAGTGTGGGGGATCCAGGGGGGAGTAGGAGAGTTCTCTGTGGGGCAGTCTGGGTACGGGTGGCTCAGTGGGGGATCTGGATGCACAGAAGCTCATTGGGGGGTTGCAGGGGCAATGGGACTCTGCAGGGATCCAGGTGAAGGTATTTGGGGCTCAGCGGGGGGGTCTAGGTGCAGGGGAGGTGGGGTTCATTTGGGTGGGGGTCCAGGTGCAGGTGGTTGGGGCTCAGTGGGGAGGGTGTCTGGGGGGGGCTCATCGGGGTGGTACAGATGCAGGGGAGGTGGGGCTTGTTAGGGTAAGGGTTTGATGGGCCTGCTTAACAGGGGTGCCCCAGCTTCTGCCAAGGGGATGCCGCATGCTGGGCTCCAGCTTCCCTGCCCCCGCTTCCCCCATCTCCTTCTCTTCCCCATCCCATGCCCCTTCCCCACCGCTCCATCTCCTCCTCATCCCACCCCCTTCCTTCCCCCATGCCTCTTAACTCCTGTCCCCGCTTCCCCACTGCTCCATCTCCTCCCCAGGCTTGGGGGACAGGGGGGAAACCGCCCCTCAGCACGAGTGGCAGAGCGGATTGGGGCCAGGGTTGGGGCACACTCACGGGACAGCGGGAATCATAGAATATTAGGGTTAGAAGGGACCTCAGGAGGTCATCTAATCCAACCCCCTGCTCAAAGCAGGACCAACACCAACTAAATCATCCCAGCCAGGGCTTTGTCAAGCTGGACCTTAAAAACTTCTAAGGATGGAGATTCCACCACCTCCCTAGGTAACCCATTCCAGTGCTTCACCACCCTCCTTGTGAAAAGTTTTTCCTAATATCCAACCTAAACCTCCCCCACTGCAACTTGAGACCATTGCTCCTTGTTCTGTCAAGTGGAATGACCTGGCCCCAGCCTGCTCTGCTCTGCTCCCCTGGGTCCCAGCCTTGGGACTTGGGGGGCAGGGGGGAACCGCCCCCCCAGTACTCAGCAGCAGCGCAACTGGGAGCCAGCAGCACGGAGCGGGCTGGGGCTGGGTCGCTCCACTTACCACCGCCCAGTGAGTGCAGGGTGTGCCCGACCCCTGCTGCAGTCCTCAGGGGAAGGGGTGGAATGGGGGTGAGGCTGGGGCACAGCAGGGGTGGGAAGAGGTGGGGGCGGAGCAGGGGCGGCTTTCCTAGCCGGCTGGGGAATCGGGCTGGCTGGGGCCCCTTCTGACTCTGGGCCCGGCGCCATGGTGCCACTGGCAGTACTGTCAGTCAGTAGCGATGGGAGCTGCGTGGAGCTGGCCACCAAGCCATGTGTCACCTGCGTCCTCTTGGGAGACTGCAGGTCCCATGGGTGAAATCCTGACTCTGCTGAAGTCAATGTCAAAACCCCCACTGACTTCAGGATTTTACCCCCAAAGCATCCTCTCCTTCGGCTGCCCCATCGGGTTCCTGGGGGTCCCCTGCTGCTCTGCGTGGTTCCTGCCTGCTCTCTGGCTCACTGTTGCTGTCGGTCTCCGGGGTCCCATGGGCCCCCCCAGATTTGTGTGTTCCTGCTCCCCACCCCCATCCCAGGCTGACATCCCATTCTCCGTGCCCCACAGGCGCAGGTGGCGATGTTCCTGGGCCAGGAGCTGCCCCTGGATGCCTTCCTGGAATTCTTTCAGCAGAGCCGGATGCTGTCCCATCTCCGCAGGACACAGGTGGAGAAACTGGAGCAGCTCCTGCGGAAGGAGAAGCAGCCCAGGTGGCTCCCCACGTGCTGCGAGGGGCAGCGAGCTGCCCCACTGAGCCCAGCCCGAGCCCAAGTTGCCCTGGTGCAAAACGCAGCCTCTCCCAAGATGTTCCAGCTCCGCTATGGCTACAGCCCTGCCCTGCTGGTCCCCTCTGACGCCATCATACCGTTCCCTGTGCCCGTTGCCCCTCCCAGCCGAAACCTGCCTCCCCTGGCCTCTTGCTCAGGCCAGTCGCCACCGTCTCACTCCAGCATCCCATGTCTGGGCTCCCCTCTGCGTCTGATTGGACACATCCCCCTACTCAGCCCGCGGCCTTTCCGCGTGCAGCATGCGCACCTGTCCTACCCACAGAAGCAGGAGCCGCCCCACCGGTAACTGTTGGGACGATGAGATGTCCTCAGACCCGCGTCCTTGACATACCAGCCGACCAGCGCACGTGAGCGTCTTGTGCTAGAGAATGAATGTGAACCAGACACTGCCCTCGCCTCGGCTCGAAGGCGTCGTTCACTCCACCCTGGGTTCTCAGGAAGTCTCCATGGGGCGCTGCAGCCTGCGGGGGTGATGTAATGAACTGCTTCAGGATGCAGCTAGCAGTGGGGTCTGTGTGGCTGCCACGTGGCCAGAGGTGGGAGCATCAGAGGCAGCCTGGCAGTGGTTAATTATAATGGGGATTTCCCAAAAAGCTGGGTGCTGAATTCTGGCCGGTATTGCATGGGGGCGTCTGATTCTGCAGCAGGCGAGGGGGAGTTCAGGCTGGGGCAAGGGGAGGTTGTCAGATGGCAGTGTCAGTGGGAGCGCAGCAGGCCTGTCTGGGATGGGGAATACACAGCGTGGGGAGGCGGGGGGGGTGGCTGGCAGATTACGGGCACGGGGCAGGATCCCAGCCGCACTGCATGGGTTGGAGGTGAATGCGGATGAAAGGAGGCTACGGTGACAGGGAGGAGGGCCACAGCAGGTCCATGGGGCACAGAGGGGAATGCAGACCCAGGCGGGGGGCTATGAGGTTACAGCAGGGGTCGGCAACCTTTCAGAAGTGCTGTGCCGAGTCTTCATTTATTCACTCTAATTTAAGGTTTCGCGTGCCGGTAATACATGTTAACGTTTTTAGAAGGTCTCTCTCTATAAGTCTATACATACAACAATAGTTTAGTTATATATTAAAGTAAATAAGGTTTTTAAAATGTTTAAGAAACTTCATTTGAAATTAAATTAAAATGCAGAGCCCCCCCGGACTGGTGGCCAGGACCCGGGCAGTGTGAGTGCCACTGAAAATCAGGTCGCATGCCGCCTTCGGCACGTGTGCCATAGGTTGCCTACCCCGGGTTACAGTGAGCAGGATAAGGGCCATGTGGGGTGCAGATGACTCATGGAAGGAGGGTTCCTGCTGTCTCCCTCCCCTCCCCGCTGTGTGTGTGTGGGTGGGGGGGAGGCATGATAGCCAGGGGCAGGAGTGTGGGAGGCGTGAGGGTCAGGGCTGAGGAGGACAGTGCAGGGCCCTGGTGCCCCGCTGTACAGTGCTAGGGCCTCCCAGGCAGGTATGTGGTGGTTTGTCAGGCTGCCCTGAGGAGCGCGGGGTACCAAGATCATTTTCCAAATAAAGGCACTTTCTAGTCTCTGTTCTTTTCCTGGGGCTTGTGCTGTGAGAGGAGGGGAATTTGCTCTCCCAGGAAGGTCACTGAGTGCCCTTCGCAGCAGGAGGGATCCCAGCACTGAGCCTCGAGGAGTGGGGAGCAGTACACTGTGCTGCAGGGAATAGGGGGTAGGTGGGGGGGCTTCATGGTGTGGGGGATAGGGGGAGTGCTGTGCTGGGGAGGGAGCCATTTAATCCTGGCTGGCATTATGCTGTGCTTGAGGAAATGGAAGGGACGGGGGGAGGCTGTGCTGTGGGAAGGGGGCGGCTATGGCAGATTGCTCCACAGGGCACCAGGGCAGAGCCCTGGGGAAATGGCAGATGCACTGGGATGTAGGAGGGGCTAATGGATGGGGTGAATGAATTTATCAAAGGGAAATCTTGAAAATCTCCATTGTCTCTGCTCCTCCTCCACCCATCTCTTCCCTGGCACTGTGCTGGGAGCTGCACCCCTGTCCCCTGGGTGTCCCAGACCTTGCTGTGATATCCAGACTGCACTGATTCCCTGCTCAGTACAGCCCAGCAGCCTGCCGCCAGGGGACAATGGAGAGAGAGGTCGGTTTGTGGCCCTGTCTGTCGGAGGAATCTCAGGTTTCCCCTAATTGCAGTACCTGTGGGCCCTTCTCCCAGTGGCTCTGCCTCTCTCTCACCCTTCACTCAGTGAGTAATTATGGTAACTAGAGACAGCCCTCTCATCCCTGTGAGCCTCTGTGCATGGGGTGGGGGGGGGAGAGAAGAGTACCAAGACAGAAGCCTCCCACCCCTGCTGCCACATGGGCAAGCTCCCAACCCCTTGTGGCCATGGAAGCCCTATGGTGGGTCTCACCAAGCAAGGGGCTTTTAACTCCAGTGTCCCCCTGCCATTGGGGAAGCATTGTTCTCTTACTGCCCTGGCTGAGCCCCCCTGGGGATGTTCAGCAGTTGGTGTTTTGGATCCCTCGTAAGCCAACTGGGGTGGAGCAGTTCCCAGGCACTGGCTCTAGTCCTGCCCTCTCTGGCACATGGCCAGGGTGCAGACTCTATCCCTGGCACCATGGGACCCTGCAGTCCAACTGCCCTCAGCTCTGAGAACCTGCCAAGCCTGTGCATGCTCTCCCCAGAGTCCATCCTCCATGGGTGCTCTGGTTATAATTTAACTCTTTGGGGACTATGTGACAGGTAAAGCAAGGAACACGGGTTTTGCAAAGGAACTTCTTAGACATGTGTGTACACACTTTACTCATAGACAGCACCCACAGTGATGGAAACACAACAAACAGCTGAGTGCAATTCCCTCCTTCTGGTGTCCTCAACACTCCTTGGAGTCTTTTGGGTTCTGATCAGTGTCCTGCAGGGAAGCCCTGGCAAGATTATGGTGGGGAACTCCAGTGAGCAAGGATATAAGGGGAGAAATGAGGGTGGGTATTTGCTACAGGTCACTAGGGCTGGAGAGCAGTGAGACTGAAAAAGCCCTTAGTTCTTAAGGCACCGGGCATGAAAGATATTATATGCATGTGAGATTTTATCTAAGCAACCAAATATAGCCCAACTTAAGCTAAAGATTCCAACCTGAGGAGAAGGTGCCTTAGCTTGGGTTGTCTGACTCTGAGACTAAAAGGAAAGCTTGGAACCAGTGGTCATGAGCTATTTGTGTGCATTTTCATGAAGGAGAATTACAGATTTCAGGAAGCAAATTTTGGGGAATTACCTTGTGTAGCCAGGACCCCCATTGAAAGCTCTCTGAGTGTGCAATGAAGGATTGGGTCCCTTATGAATAAGGAACAAAGGTGAGAAGGCTGGGAATCTTAATTAAAGGGTGACAGACCATGACTCCTCTGAAATGGAGGAGTGCAAGAGGCAGGCGGTGACCAGTATGGCTTCAGGAGGGGCTGCTCAGAAAGCTACAGACAGGAAATGGATAAAGGGGAGGTGACCAGACAGAAACACTCAGGGGTAGGGCAGCAGAAATGCAAAGTGAATGTGTGATTCCAAACTGTGTTGCAAGACATAAGAGATTTGACAGCTATTGCAAGGGGAAAGCCCAGCAGAGAAAAGTAGGCCCATTAATAAATGAAGGGGCGGAAATGAATGAGGACACAGGAATGACTGGAACAGACTGCAGCTCCTTTGTTTGGAAGTGGCCGGCATATTTTGGGTGCTACCATAAATACAAATAATTTTAATAGTAAAATGATGGAACAGATAGAAAAAATCCAAGGCTGTGGCTAATGGGAGTGCAGTAACTAGTATATTGGGGTTTTGTAAAGGATCTGATGCTGTCTCACAAATTCCTACAGAATTAATACAACCTTGGCTTGGATAAGAACAGGGTCAAGTGGAGTTAAAACTGGTAGAATGATCTTAAGCAAAAGGCAAAGACCAGTGCACTGTATTAGCTATGGGGAAGTGTCTAGCAGGGGGCAGGATAAACTCGAGTCTTACTTGACCCCTCCCTTAATGATCTGGATGTGAGGACTAAACAGCACATTCATGCAATTGGCAGATGGAACTAAAATGAGAAGAGCTGGAAATGCCAGTGAGGACAGAAATCGATACTGGAGAACACACAGACAGGTAGCTGCTCCATGAGAGTCAGCGTGGGAAAGTCTAAACTAATAAGATCTGGGAATAATAATGGGAACCAAGAAGGATTCGCCAGGAGCCTGCGATATCTTATGGCTGCCCAAAAGGGCCAGTGGCCTTCTAGGCTGCGTGGGCAGAGCCGTCATGTCATAGATCAGGGAGGGGAGAGCTCCGCCCTCCACGGCTCAGATTCAGTAACACTCAGTGTGGGGTTCTGGCCTGACTCACAGGAAGATACGGGAAAATTGGAGGCCGTGCAATGCCGTTGCTGAGGGTCTGAAGGGAGCGGCTGCAAGGGAAGGTGCAAAGAGCTGTCTCCATGTGCAGATATATGGAGCTGGAGCTGGCACGGCTGTGGAGGTGCATCATAACATGCTCCAGCTTTGTGATGGGCGTAATCCCCAAGGCAAGGCAGCAATTGTTGAGGGTGTGGGTAGCACAAGAATTAAACCAATTTCCCACCAGTGGGCTCTGTGAGGCTGTTCAATGGTCTCCCAGGGAGGGGTTACGACCCCATGCTTGGGACATGGAAGCTAGAGGGGAAGGTGCCCTCGTAGGTGGCCCATAGGGGACAGCAGCCCAATCTCTGGATGAACTAACAGGTATTCTCAATCATTACAGGCCCAATCCTAAGAGGTGCTGAGCCCCGGTGTCTCCCATTGTTTGAGGCGCTGTCCCCTCAGGACTGGGCGGCTACAGCAGCTGTAAGCGTTTGCTCCAAGATGGGAAGAAGGCAGAGAGCGCTAAGCATAGCAGCATTTCAAACCTGACCCCCTCAGCGGGGACCTCAGTGCAATGGGAGGGGCTGGCGTCAGTGAGGCTGTGGGGTTTTACTCAGACGCTGAGGTTAGCAGCACAAAGGGCTTGTTCAGAGAGCGCCGGCTGGAGCAGGCATTTCCTCAGGCCCCCTGGCAGTCACTCACATTAGATAGGAGCCGACGGTGCCGCCTGCTGGGGGAGGCAGTGGAGCTCCCTGAGTCTCGGTGCTAGAGCTGCTGTGCGTGGGAGGAAGGCCTGACACACCTTTCGCCCAAATGACCCACCCCCTGTGCTGGGAGCCCTACAGAGCCTGGTAAAGACACAAACAGCTGTCTGCTCCCCCAGATCAGATCAAATAGCCAGCAAGAGTGGAAATACAGCCCTAATCCATTGACCTCCCCCCCGCCCGTAGCGTCCCCCACCACCTGTTCCAGCCTGTGCCCATCGCAGCAAAGGAAGGGGGAAGAAGTCAGGCTGGCTCCACATCCTGAAGGGTGACCGACAACGTGGCTTAGGCCTGGGGTTGCAGTGCATTGGGAAGGAGGCCCTGCCAGTCGCCCATCTCTATTATACCAACAGGGCTTCAGCTCGGATACCCCTGCTGATGGAGCTGTGTAGTGGGCCATAGGGAGAGAGGGGTCTCTTGGATAGGCAGGTCACAGGCCTTGTAGGTCAAAACCAACAGGCAGCTAGTGCTGATTGCAGGGTGCAGAGCACAGGTTAATGAGTTCCTGGAAAGAGAGACCACTGGGCAAGCAGCCCCCCAAATTCTGCACCAGTTGCAGGTTCTGCCGAGATTCAGTGCATGGCCCTGCGGACAGTCTAATCTGAAGGTGACAAAGGCATCAAGGACAGTTGTAAAGTCTGCATTTGAAAGGAGCAGAAACAGCCCCAGTCATCCACAATTGGCTGTGACTGCTCCCTGATCTCCTAGCACTAATGCATCAGTTACGGCTTCTGCCAAAGGGCTGGCAAACAACAGGGGCAGTGGATTGCACTGTAAGCGTCTCAGAGGAAGGCTGCCAGGGCTTGTTTCAAGACTGATGGTAGTTTCCCCCCGGGGGGGGGGGGGGGGTCAGTGTTGGGCCAGACACTGGGCCTCCTGCACCCTTGCAAAACCTGTGTCCTCAGAGGTTACCAGCAAAGGGTAACAGTGGGGATCAGGCCAGCCTGGGTGGGTG